CATAAATCTGATCTGGGCCTTCACAGAGGGGACATCCCGCCTCCTCAGGTTCCCCACCACACTCTCTATCAGATCCTGCCTCCCTCCACCGCAGCACCCCAGGTAATCAAGCTGTTCCACCACATCTCATCTAATCCAAACCCATCCCAGTTCTGTGACAAGATATGGGGCTCCACATCCTCCTGGATGTGCTCTGGCTCCTCTTGCCCCTGCAGATGTTGGCTGCAGCACCTCAGCTGTGGCACCGGGGGGGAGTGCAGGCTCCTCACAGGGAAACCTGAGCACTGATCCTGACCAGAACAACCTCACACATTGAGCAGTTAGTGCTGGGCTGGGCTGCACGTACAGCGTAGCCTCCTCCACTGTGCTGTGCTTCACAGATCCCTTTGGCTGCAGGACAAGCTCAGCAGCTTGTTACAACAGAAGAACCTGCAGGCAGCTCCCACTCAGTACTGGCCTTCATGCCAACTGTATGGCCTTGCTGGTATCTCCCAGGGCAGCAAGAAGTTCTCATGAGAACATTCTTTCTCTTGGGCTGAAGAGATGATAAATAGAGTTGTTTCCTTGTGCGAAAATCCTACAATAGTGGCTTGAATGACCAAAACAAGAGGCTCTCTTATATGGATGGGGTCTGCATGGTGTGCGGCATTTGGGTTGGAGGCCTGTGCAGTGCTACACCACCCGGGGACCCACCATCTAAAGGGACATAAGATTATCTATAGAACTCTTCCTTTACAGTGTTAGATCTCATAGAAAGCATTTTAAATGATACCTTACAGGCTCCAAGTGCCTTTCTTACTGGAATCCTATTGGACCAGCACCTCCTGGTGAAAAGCACTCTCCTAGCACACTTGAATGCAGCCCCTGTGGTCCCATGGACTGTGAAGGGTGTAGTTTGCTAAAGAAACCCCTTGCTGATTTGTTTTATTCCAGAGTCCTGTGTCAAGGCAAACAGCCTGGGAGACCTTGCTGGTGGTCACTGAGGCAAAGAGCTCATGGGGTATCTCAGATCGATCTGCACCTATTCTTACTAAATCAGCGCTGGTCCCACATTCCCTTTGTTTCTTCTTTAACTCTTTCTGAAATAACAACCCCTCACCTTGGTGTGCTTGAATTCCTTTTCAGGTTTCCGTGGGGTTTTGATATGCAACACTACTGTGCTTGGAGGAGGTTGCCCTTGAGGTCAAGATGTATGCAGGCACATGGTGGAAATGATTGGTCTGTTCCTTGACTAGGGAGTATCAAGGAAAAGATCATCAAGAGAGTGAGTGAAGATCTCGGTGTGATGTGATTGGTATTCGTGCAATGCCCACAGCTGTTGGATAAGAATGGATCAGCCCTTGCCTCTCTGACGGCATCTGATGACCCACAGCATCAAATCTATCTGTGATGCCATCTGGGGTGTCTGTCATGCACCCACTCAGAATGGGAATTGCTTTCCTGGAGGTCTCCTGTGCTTTTTCCACGAGCTATGGCATCTCATCCATGTGGGACTGGATTTGAACATTCAAGTGAATAGCTGCCATGAATTCTGGAGGGCAACGCGTGGATGAACATGAGAAACCTTCGCTTAGAATCCATGGAGATTTCGTAAGTACAGCTGGTGAGGAAGTGAGAGACACTTAGCTCTCCTTATGGCACATGGCTCCATTTAGTCAGAGGACTACCTCCACAGGCTGCTCTGAACATAATGAGGAGGGACAGGTTGTGTTTCCTTTGGGGTGTCTGCTGTCATTTCAGTTGGGCAAAGGAACATCCCAACAGCCTCAAAGACGTCGCTCCCAGCTACTCTTGTTTCTATGAAGTTCTCCATTAGAGTTTTCAGTCACCTGCTGTGTATCTTGGACCACCTCTGGCACCTGAGATGTTGTCACGATCCACTATTGGGTTGAACAATTTGGCAGAGGTTAAACCCCCTTGCTTTCCAACCGACCTCAGATAATTCTGGGAGGTTGGGGGCAGCTGGGCTTAACTTCTGATTAACTCCAATATTCTATCGTGACTAGGTTCCTTTTACATTCTCGGAAACAGAATTAAGACTCGAAACGGAGTCAAGTGCCAAGTCACTTTATTCGGCCAACAATAAACGCGAGAAAAAAAAGAGCGACCCATGCGGTCCGTGCGGCTGGTGCGGTCTGATGCATCTTTGAATCTGCTGGAGGGTAGATGTTCCTGGGTGCTCCCTCGTGGTCTCTGCCGGTTCCCCTTTTATAGGGTAGTCTTCTTGCATAGTTGATGACTCTTTTGCATACCCACGCCTCCCACTCGGCAGTGGGGCGCATGCCCAGTACCGTCATGCTCGAAAGTTCTAGGGGGTCCGAGCCCCCTCCCCATGTCAGTTAACTCTGGGCCCGGGCGCATGCGCAGAGGATGTGTAGTCCAAGACAACAGGCCACACATTCCTGTGGGGTGGGACCCAATGGGCTGAAACTGCCCCACTCAGTTGCTGTGGTGATTAGGCTTTGGTGGTTAAGCTTGCCTGCCACCAATGTTGAGACAAGCTTCTAGTCCCTTACAGATGTCACCAGGTGTTTGAGTCTGAACAAGTCACTCCTGGCCTCCACCTCCAGTAATGACCAGGAGACAAGCAGCTCCCACACAGCAGGTGCCTATTTTGTGCCCACCTGAACTGAGTCAAGAGGAATCCCTCCTCCTGTGGGTTTGGGGCAGCGACAGGTGAGAGCTGAGTCCCCCTCTAGCCCCAGGACTACAAACCAAGGATGGGATGCCTCGATGGACCCAGCTGAATCCCTTCCCTCAGCAGGGGTAAAGGAGATCATGCACTGTCACTGTCTGGGTGTTGTGTCTTATGATGGGACAGGGAAAGTTGATTCTTATGCCCAACTCTTGTTATTAACAGAGATGACTCTGCTGGAAAGAAGTGCCTCTCCCCAGCTGAGGGAGGGAACGTCAGGGATGACCTCAGCCTGTGTCACAGCAAGTTCCCCTGGAGCCCCAGGGACACCTGGAGGAAGCCCCGGTGGGGCAGAGCAAGGGCTGCCTTGGGCTGGTCCTCTGCTGCTGAGCCAGGCTGGGCTCCTGGGATGGAGGGAACTCATGGCAAGTGGGAAGCACTGCTGAGAGACAGCTCTGCCCAGGAGCAGCTCCTCTGCAAAGCGCAGCAGGGCTGAGGGCACTGCCTGCAGGCAGCGAGAGGAGAGGAGAGATGCACAGAGAGGTTACAGGCAGTGTAGGGTGGGAAGATGCTGAGCACTCACTGGGAGAGAGATCTTCATAGCCTTTTGCTTGGTAT